CAATACCTGTACTCCAATCATGACTACTATTCCACCATGTTTCTGTTATCTTTATAGTATCTGGTTTCACTTCCTGCACCAGTAACTCTAGTGTCTCCATTTTGTTACGTAGGCTCCTTACACTGGTGTACAAACATCTTAATTTCTGCTGTTTGGCTTCGCTCACATTCTTTACCCGATTAGGCACTGACATTCTACCGGCAGTATCACATATTAGACTGGTATCTATACTACCCTTCCTCCTTATGTCCATTCTCCTACCCATGGCTGTATCCTTTCTTACTTTGTTTTCTTCCCTCTCAATGTTAAAATCCGGTGTGGAGATTACCTGGACATCTCCCAAACACCTCCCCCAAATTTCTAGTTTAAAGCTCTCTTAATCGGTTGTGACAGCCTCCATCTTAGAAGACTATTTCCCTCCCTACTCAGGTGAAGTCCATCCCGAGAGAACAGTCCTCTGTCCATGAATGCCTCCCAGTGGCCATACATCCCAAAGCCCTCCTTATAGCATCACTGCCTGAGCCATCTATTGATCATCATAATCTTGTCACACCTTTGTTGCCCTTCTCTAGGAACAGGCAGAATCCCACTGAAGATCACCTGAGCCTCGGTTATTATTAATTAATTATTATTATTATTGTGCAGGGGATTCAGAGCTCCACTAGTTTCAATTCACTGGAATTTCCTTACAGTTCTTGAATTGGTTGCCCCTCATGTAGAAGGGGTTCAGCCCCCTCTCTAAATCTGCAGATTCTCAATATCTCTGTGGATCTTGGGGAATTTAGCAAAAGCAAAGGGAAGCCACGTATTGGTCCCTTGCCTCTGTGTTGCTAGGGCTCTCCTACCAACTGCTGTCCCTTGAATCACCCTTGGTGTCCAAATCATAAAGGAAAAAGATTTGTACATTACTGTAGGCGGAGTCTACAGGAATTTATGAAGTTGTTCCCCCATCTCCTGGGGTTTTTTGGGGGAGAGGGAACAGGGGCAGGAAATCTTTGCAGACCTGCACCCTCCTCACAAAATGCCTCCAGAGCAGTGGTGGGCAACCTGCAGCCCATCAGAGTAATCCGCTGGCAAGCCACGAGACAGTGTTTACAGTGACTGTCCGCAGGCACGGCCACCTGCAGCTTCCAGTGGCCGCGGTTCGCCATTCCTGGCCAATGGGAGCTGCGGGAAGCGGCGCGAGCCACGGGGACGTGCTGGTTGCTGCTTCTCACAGCTCCCATTGGTTGTGCCCGTGGCCACTGGGAGCTGCAGGTGGCCGTGCCTGTGTGTGGCCCGCAGGTTGCCCACCACTGCTCCAGAGGATGGGATAAAGGGGCAACATGCCACAGAGATAGTTCCTTCCACATTCCACTAGCCTCCATGTGCAGTTACAGGCTATCATTTACTTGCAAAAGTAGAAGGGAGCCTAGATGCTTTAAAAACTGAAGCAGATGCATGGCATATATTTGCACAAGAGAATATGTACACTAATAAAAGAAATTTGACTAAGGCCACAGAAAAAGTACCTAAGCAATCTTCTACGTTAACAGCCATACAAATGCTGCCAATATGCTGCATTACCTCCAGGAAAGTAATCATTAATACTAAATGTAACAGTTCACTTTTCAGATCCAGTGATCATTGATTTCTAATGAAGTAATCTATCAATCCTAACCAAGCATTAGCAACTTTCAAATATTTCCTGTCTGTAATGCAATTGGGTTTGGTTTGGTTTTCTAAAGATATATTACACCACTTTCCTAATAAGATTTAGAAATACTTAATTTTGTCCAAGTCTCCTAGGTTGTCTATTTCCGAGGCTAATTGATGTCCCATATTGCTTTCACTTGTAAGTGCAATTAGCTAGATTTGCTGAAATATATAAACGCAGGCTTACAAAACACAGACTTTATTTTACATTTTCTTGGCACACTTCATTAATGGTTCTCTCCAGTATTTTCTTTTAAGTGAACAAATACTGTAGTAACTTATTTTTTGGAAACAGAAGAATGACAGTGATTGTGTAACTCTGATGTGTGCTGTTGAGGCGCATACAGACAGATGTGAATGCCATCAATTTTCCTGTGAGAAAAATTATACAACCAACCCACAAAAGAACTTCTATCAAATCCATATTGTAGGAAGTGGGGGTGAAATTCATGCCTTTAAGGCAGTACACCTATTCAGCTAGTCTTATTTGAGGTATAGTGGGGGGAAGTGAGGGAGACATCAGTGGCGTGGACACAAAAGGAGTCTCTGCTAATAAAGGCATTTGGTTCTATGCTGGCTCTGCATAAAGTACAATTCACTTTTTAGTCCTTTTAGTAATCTCTATGTAGCCACTAGATGAACTGGTAAGATGAGATGGACTCAAATGCCAACAATATGGGGATCATACACAGCTCAGCTTATCCCTCACCATGTACAACTGTACCACCACCACAACCAAGATGAAAGAAGAGTTAGTTGAAACTGAACCTGAACAAGATGGAGGTTATCAAATCCGTCTGCCAATCTCTACATTAGCTTCCTATAGAATGTCAATTCAAATTCATGGTCTCAGTCCTTAATTTCAAGGTGCTGTTCCAGAATGAAAACTGTGGTCAACCACTCTACTCATCAGACACCATGGAATTTTCTATCACAACAGCAAAGCTCATCTGTGTAGGAGACAAAGCTTTGTCAAGAACCACCCGAGACTATGGAAGGAACTCCCACAGGAACTAAGGACCAGAACAAATCTCACCACCTTCTGCTTCGAGTGCAGGCGCACTTCTTTGACTTACTTTCTCTAATATAAACACATAGTGTGTACAGATTAAAAAAACCAAAACACTAACCTGCAGAGACAGCTATGCTCCTAGAGAGAGGAGAAGAGAGAATGAACCACACATAACACATGTTAATCACATCACTTAATGGACTACTGGAAGGCACTCAGGTACTTTGGTGACAAGGACGGTATAAGATCCTGCCTAGACTTAGAATGGTGGTGTGGAGTAGAGAATTTGGGGTTATATAACCTGGGGAAGGGTCCACTGGGTCAACACTTAAGTAGATGAAATCCTTACATTATTATTATTTGTATTACTATAGTGCCTAGGAGCTCTAGTCATGGACCAGGAGCCCATGATGGTGATCACTGTACAAACAGAACAAGATCGTCTCTGCCCTAAGGGGCTTACAGTATAAGTATAACACAAGACAATGGACACAGACAGATGGGGGAGTTCAAGTAAACAACAAGATAGTATTGGCCAGCAAGCTAAGCAGTGATCTCTGCCCACCAGCAGCCTAACAGTTTGAGCTGTTTGTCGGCATCATGGAAAAGGAGAGTTTTGAAGATTAATTTGAAAATGGAAACGAGGTAAGTCTGTGGACGTTTATAAGGAGCTTCCTTCCCCCAAGTATGTGGGGCAGCATGGGAGAAAGTACAAAAGTGTTTGTTTGAAAATTTAACAATTGGGTGATGGAGGCTGGCATCATGGGCCAACTGGAGGCAAGCATCGACTGCTCACTGGCAAATGAGAGGTGATAGGTAGGTGGGGATGAACTGTGAAGTGCCTGGAAAGTAAATACAAGCATCTTACATTTGATGCAATAGAGAATGGGGACTCAGTGGAGAGATTCCAAGAGAGGGGTGATGTGGTCAAAGTGAGGGGCTAGGAAAGTGATCTTTGCAGCAGTATTCTAAATGGACATAAGTGTGGTAAGATTGCATTTGTCAAGGCCAGAGAAAAGAATGTTACAGTAATCAAGATGATAAGAGCTTGGAGGAGAGTTTTAGCTGTGTGGATGGATAAGAATGGTCATATCTTAGAGATGTTATGCCAAAAGATTCTGCGAGATTTAGGTTTAGCCTTGATTTGAGGACCCAGAAAAAGGTGCAAGTCAAATATGTGCATGCTGGTTATAGACACGAGTAACAGACCGACTGGTGGTGTCCACAGTGATTAAAAGGCAGAAGCTACTATTCTGTCCCATAGGCTGAAATAGGTACAAGGAAGGGCTATGCTGCAGTCCGATGACTTGGCCCTGTGGAAGGAATGGGGGGGGGGGGGATTCTTTCCTTAGTCATGAGCAAGACACCCATATAAATTCCAAGTTCCTTAGCTGCATGTTGGTTTTCTGAATTTCATCCTTTGTGAACAAGATTTTTAAGTACCTTAAATTTAAATCAGTTCACATTTACATCATGCAATAAAGCAATACAACACTGTAGTGTATATCAATTTATTTGATAAATGGAATTTTGATGTTAAATATATTTTGTAATAGGATTTTTATTGGCTAATAAATTATGCTCATATGCAGTATTTTTTAAATGAGCTAACTGGGCAGCGAAGCAGCATTCATCTTCCATGCAGGAATTCTGTATGCCCACTCCATAGGCTGGTAGAAATTAAGTTGAGAAATACATACTTGCTAATACACTTGCCAGCTAATACACAGAGTAGAAATGAAGGAAATGTGCCTTCCAACCTAAGGGCTTGCTCTTGCTCTCGTGAAGTCAGTTTTCAAACTGCCATTGATTTCAACGGGAGCAGGATTGAGCCCTACATAGCACAAGTATAAAACTGCCAAATTGTTGTTACACATTTTAATTCTCTGTGGAATGCTGAAATATGTCATCCTTCTAATCAATATAACACAATGAAGGCTGTGCAGAACTACAAGTACATTGTGCTAATTCATAATAAAAGAAGCAATACTTGTATTAAGTTTTCCACTGATGACATTATCGATACTGTCAGGAAGAACCAGGTTCTGTGTGTAACACAACATGTTCAGATATTTGACAAAATGGAAAACAAAACAAAAAACAAAAAAACAAAAAACTATTTTAAGTCATATAATTGAACCCCTGATGTATGTTCAGATCTATTTTCATGTATGTATTTCGATCCTGCTCATCACTATGGTATCCAATCAGGTCTTTTGCATTTAGGAAAGAAATACGTATATTTCATTTAGCCACTTTACTGTAGCAGTAACATCCCCTTTTATTTATTTACCTTGAAGTCGCTCATCAGTGATTATTTTGTTGGTTTGATTCCAAGTACTGTCAATAAATATTACTTTCTTCAGTACAGTGTCTTCACTCCTGCTGTTTGATTTGTATTCACTTAGGTTTCGATCTTCTTTTGTTTCTATTTTTGCTTTCTTGAGAAATGGCTCTGCTGAAGAATCATCATCATTGCCACAACTAACATTTTTCTCAACATTTTTTTCCAGATGGAGAATAATATCTTTTACTGAAATTGAGTTAGAACCAGGAAAGATAAGTGCAATCTAAAATGAAAACAAATACAGAGGTCCAAGTGCCATTCTGATAGAAAATTATGTTAAAGTTTCTGGTAAAGTTTCAAGAACTTGTCTATTAAAAAAGAAACTACCTATTCCTTACAGCAATCCACACACACAAATAAAATAAAATAAAATAAAATAAAATAAAATAAAATAAAATAAAATAAAAAAATCAAACCATTTAAATCCATACAAGATGAAAGTGAACTTCTCTTTGAAAATGTATTTCAAATGCCCCAAAGGGTGAGCAGAGAGACAGGGGAAAAGAAAAACTAAATTAAGGCAAGGGATTTGTTTAAATTAGTTATTTGCAGGGGTTTCATTAAATATGTACAGGCTTGGAAGGATTAGCTTTTTAACAGTAAATGTCAGTAAACATCAATTTCACAATACATATCCAAACAGACTAAAAAAATGTTTCCACCACCAACAAACTTAAATATACAGATAGGAAAAGATAGACAAATGCTGCTTGAGAACTTATTACAGGCTGTCATTAAATAATTATTGTCTGATGTACCCATAGTTTCCTGCAACTGAAAACGTAACATCGATAAAAAAAATCGACAAATTGCTTAAAACCCAAAATTTCATGCAACTGTGAAAAGGTAAATCACTAAAAATAAAATGTTTAACGATATCCATCAAAATTATTTAAAAAAAATTGAAATCTGCCAAGCCTACATGTATACTACTTCTATACATGTTAAACAACGTATCCTACCAAGCCAATATTTTCTGTGCAAGAAGGTACTATGCAGATGTTTACACTAATCTATTTCTCTATGCCAGCGTGCAATCTTATATTGTGAAGATGGCCAAATTCCATTTTTAATTATGGTCTATGGGCCAGAGTATAAATGTAGAACTACTTGTTACCCTCAATTAATTCATAAATTTTAAGGCCAGAGTGATGATTAGATCATCTAGTTTGACCTCTAATCTACAGCAGAACTCCCACAGATGTCAATGGTATTTCACACAAAACAATATGGCCTATATGCAATAATTAAACCTCCTTATTACATTCAGCATCCTAATGGGAAATTATGACCATTTTTAGGATCAGCAGTATTTCCCTCCCCTCCCCCCCAAGTCTTTCCCATCCTCCTTCCTCTGTTTCTCTCCCTCTTTCCTTGACATTTCCTTCCCTGCAGCAAATACCAATTCCCACACCCATGAACTTCATTCACTCCCTTCCCTTCCCCATTTGTTAATGCTGACATTACAAATGTTAGGTTTCAGAATTCTCATTGCAGTGAAATTAATTGAGGACTGGGAGCTCATTCCTCACAGTCATTATTTCAGGCTCTGGGCTGACTCAAGAAGACAACATGCATCAATTACATTTGGTAGGTTTTCCCTGCACCAGGAAATACTAGAAACTTACTTTTTACAAAATAAAAGCTTAGATTCTGCAGAAGTTGAATATGCCAAGCAGGCCACATAACTCCATCAAGCAGGGCAATACAGCCAGTGGGCTTGGTGTTTGACACTTCTGCTCTATGCAGTAAGTAAAATACTCGCTACAAAGCACAATAAACCAAATCCTCTCTCTCCTCTGTAGGTGCAGAGGATTGTGGACACAACAGAATCAATGTGTTTAGACTGCACGTGGAGGCAAATTTCCATGAGCCTGGCAGGATGTCCACATCCCTATGCACGAGATGTGCTCTGGGTGGGGTGGAATGAATTCATGGAGGGATAGTGGCAGAGTAGTTGGATCTACACTCCCCCTGCAAGGGGAAGTACAATATCAGCAGCAGTTGGGAGATGAAGGCACATGAACATTTCCCCAGCACACAGCCCTGTTATAGAATCTCTTACTTCATGTCTTTTTTCTTCATAGTCTGGAATGCAAGGATATGTATAAATGGTAACATCTTCAGGTGCTAGGAGTTTAGCATGTACAGCAGTGCTTTTGCCATCAGTTTCATTTGGGTGTTTAATTATGTCAATCTTCAAAGGAAGCTACAACAAAAAATGGCAGACATATTAACAAATTTGGCCGTATGTCTAGGAAATCCCCAGACAGAAACTTTTTAAAATATATAGTAAATTCATATAAAGTTTCCTAAAAATGTTTTGATTTAAATATTAAGAATATGAAAGTTCCTAATTTCAACTAAACTGTTTAATGCAAAATAGGGAAAGAAAACAAACAATCAGAGTAAAATACACAGGAAATAGCACTCACTGCTTTTAATAGTAAGCAATTTAACTATTATGCGTACACACTTGACACTCTAATGTTGCTAAAGTAAAGCTCTATTGATACTTTTGTTATCAATTTTAATTTTCAGTCATTAATAACAGACAAAAGAAGTTATGCATTTAAAATTTAAAAGCCTTAGGCTCCCAATCCTGAACACCTATTTGTATTAGATATTCAACCCATTGAAATTAATACAAAACTCTTTGATTTCAAGGAGAACAGGGTCAAGCACAATGGGTAAAATTTTCAGAAGCACCTAACTGACTTATGAGACAAAGTCCAATTTTCAATAGGCCTTTGGCACTTAAGCACCAAAGTGACTTTTGTAAATGGGACCTTGGCACTTCTGAAAGCTTTATTCACTATCTCAGCTGGATAACAATATATTTTAAGAAAATAGTTAACTGACTTAGTTATACAACTATGAGCAGTTCTTTATTTTTTTTTAGTTCACATTTTGGGTCATATTCAGCCCTGGTTTAAATGGATGCAGCTCCATAGCATTGTTTATATAACCTCCCCACTATAGACTCAGATTCCTAGGCCAGAAGTGGCCATTGTGATTGTCTAGTCTGACCTCCTGTATAACACAAGCCATAGAACTTCCCCAAAATAATTCCTAGAGTGTATCTCATCTTGATTTCAAAATGCTTATGCCACTGGCACTTACAATTTGGAGAACCCTGGTGAGAATGGTTTAAGAAAGAGTTTAAAGAATTAGCCTTAACCTGAATTGCTCAATTTCATAACTTTACACATAAGGAGTCCCATTGACTTCAATGGGACTCCTTGTATATATAAAATTGAGCATATGCATAAATGTTTGCAGAACTGAAACCTTAACTATCAATTTCCTTACATCTGGTTCCTTAAACCAGACTGCTAAACCTCCTTTATCATAATTTATTCATCTATCATGACCACTGTGTTAAAGCTGACCTAGAAAAAGCAAACATTGGCAATGTATTCACACACACCCCACCTACTAACAGATAATAGGCACAATAAACATGTTGTGTTTCACTAACCTTCACAACTGGAATTTCTTTGGTAGGCACAGTTTCAACTGGAACATAACATGAATAACAATAAAACATCCTTGAACTACCACATCTTGGGCACTTTGATCTCCCACTCTTTTGGGCCTTTTCAAGAACTTCCCAGGATGCTAACTGTAAATTCTGAAGTGGGTTATCTTGAAGTGATGAAGTAGTCTGTTGTTGTGAATTTTTCAAACATTCAAAATTTCTTTTTAATTTCTGATGGCTTTCTTGGTTCAAAAATGTAGATGAATTTAAAGACATCTTTACTTTAAATAGACCATATGCTGTATCTGCTAAAGAAAAATACATTGTATCTGATGTACTATAAATAGACTAATTTCTAAAAAAGTAATCATCATATGGTCATCCTATTGAACTAACACATACTTGTTATTACTTATCACAGCAGAAATCGACTAGATCACATCAAATTAATCCCAAAGAGGTTTTTTTTGTTTGTTTGTTTTTTAAAACACCCTGAGGCTCCTATCAGGAGCCAGACTCCTCTGTGCTAGGTGCTATACAAACAGATTAAAAGGTGGTCCTTGACTTAAAGAACTCGAAGACTCGGGCCTTGACCATGCAAACATGCACAATTTTACTCAGATGAGTTGTCTCACTCACTTTACTCATGTGAGTAAAGTTACAAACATGCAGATTTGTAAATTCAAGCTGTAAACTTTCCAATTTTGCAAACACTTTGGCCCCAAACCTGCTAACTGACTTCAATATGTGCTTAACTTTACTTACATGAGTAGTCCCATTAATTTGCAGTAGGAGTAAGTGTTTGCAGGGCCGGCTCCAGGGTTTTGGCCGCCCCAAGCAGCCAAAAAAAAAAAGTTGTGATCGGCGGCAATTCGGCTGGAGGTCCTTCACTCCGAGCTGGAGTGAGGGACCGTCCGCCGAATTGCTGCCGAATAGCTGGATGTGCCGCCCCTCTCCAGAGTGGCTGCCCCAAGCACCTGCTTGCCAGGCTGGTGCCTGGAGCCGGCCCTGAGTGTTTGCAAAGATAAGTAGACAGGTTTAGGTCCCAACCCTGCAATTGTTGGAACAGATCCCTGTGCCTACACCAGGGGTCGGCAACGTTCGGCACGCAGCTCGCCATTGGCCTGGGACGGCGAACCGTGGCCAGTGGGGGCCGCGATCGGCCGAACCTGCCGCGTCAGCAGGTAAATAAAACTGGCCCGGCCCGCCAGGGTGCTTACCCTGGCGAGCCGCGTGCCGAACGTTGCCAACCCCTGGCCTACACAAAGCCCCACTGATATGCATAGGATTCTGAAAGGGCACAGTGGTTTTCCAGCATGCAGTAAGGTGCAGGTTTGGAGTCATCAACAAAAATGTTAGGCCAAAATTAGGCCAGTGGAAGCTGCGATCAGCCGAACCTGCGGACGCAGCAGGTAAACAAACCGGCCTGGCCCGCCAGGGGCTTTCCCTGAACAAGCGGCGGACCGGCTTTGAGAACCACTGGCCTAGACAGACTTCAAGAACTATTTAAGTTACGCCAGGGGCTTCTCCAGCTCCCTGGAACAATCCAAGAACAAGAGGCTGCAGAGTTCGCTTATAGTCACCTAGTCTCTTCTCCCAACCCCCACTGTGCTTTCTGTGCTGCGCCTCCTAGTTTCTTATGATACACTTACGATGTGATGCAACACAATAGATTAAAAAAAAATGCAAGACAACATGATGCAAAATAAACAAAACTGTGTGATACTTCTCTCCAATGTAAATATAAAATACACCCCAGGGAAAGAGTCACCATTTTCTGCTAAAATGAAACACCATACAGGTCACGAAAAAAAAGCCAAATTATGAGACTTTAAAGGAAATTAACACCGCTCCCTGCCACACACACCCTTTTTACAATCCAAGTTTGCGCTGAACTGAATCTTGAAAAGAATCAGGGGGAAGAGGGTGGGGGGAGAATGAAATTGCCCTTGTGACAGTTGTCAAGCCTGGACTAAGGCCGCTAACCATACAGATTCTTCAAGGAAAAAAGAGGCCACGAGGCCCTTTGATTTGATATGCCTTCCCAGCCTGCAAACTGATTCTCTTCAATATAATGCCTTATGGCAGTGTGGTGTTCAATTATGAAGCCCCAAAGCATTTTCATCATTGACGCTGACAGGAGAAATGCTGCTGTTAGTGGAAAAGGCAAACCTCTGTGGTCTCAAAATAATAGCTACACAAAAGCTTAACTGAAAAACATACATGTAATATATTTTTGCAAGCACAACAGCAATACAGTTTTCACATCCTGTAAGATTGAGAGCTTGATTCAGACAGCAAATCAGTCATAATGATTCCATCTGCAGAGTAACCTCCTACCACAGCAGAGAAGTCTTGCTTATGTGGAGAGAGACTACCTCATCTGGATGAATTTTAAGGCATTTTAATAACTCTCTCTCACAAAGGAGAATTGCTCTGTAGGTTTCAGTGAAACACTGAAAACCATATTGGTCATTTTCAAAGTCACCCTCAATCAAGCTGTTCCAAAGTGACAGCCCTACTTACTAAATTCTGCCCTGGGTCCTGGGAATAGTTCACTGTTAGGACTCAATCCTGCAAAGTGGTGAGTCCCTCCTCAAAAATGCTGTGAATTCCCTCAACGTCTATTGAAACCAAATGTACATGAACAGGCCCTTTAGAAGAAACAACAAGGATTAGAGCACCATAAAAAAGGCAATACAAATGAAATGTTAAAAAGGATTGATGCCTTTGTGGTTTCGATTTAAACAGAAGGGTCTGTAAATCAGGGGTACTGGAAAATAATAAAAATTCTCTTGCCAAACATTATTAGACACCATAAAAACATACACTTTCTATTCACTATCTTCGCCTACTACCATTTTATACAAGAGAGCTATTGCAAACACTATTTTGGGAGGAAAGTATGGTCCTTCACAGAAGCACGATTGCCCTGAGAATCTTAGGAGCATGCCTTCATGAACATCAGACGAGATTCCATTGCTCCCAAGCCTAGACATGATGGTCCTAAAGGCTCCACTTCAAACACTGAAATGACGGGGCAATGCACCGCACACCTGGATGGGCTGCTTTGTACAAGGGGCCCATCCAGTCATTGAAACTAGCATCTCCTCCTTGCCTATCCTACTCTGAGGAAGGGCTCCTTGTGAACAAAATCGGGCAGCTCTCTCATCCCCATCAAAGCGTCCTCTACACACATCTAAATGGAGCAAACTCCCTCTCCTCGCTACTCCCTTACAGTCCTCCCCGTGGACATCAAAACAGAGTGACACTCCCCCCCCCCTTCAAAATGTGGTAACTGCCCACACAGGGAGCCGGAAAACATCAAAATGGGGCATCATCTGCCCACAGGACCCTCCCTGCAAACATCAGAGTGAGGGCAGGCAACGCCCTCCGCATGCCCTGTACAAGCACCAGCCCGCCCCTTTAATCCCTGCTCGAGTGGCGGGCGAGGAGGCGCTGCAGGTGCCCAGGCCTGGCCCCCACGGAGGGCAGACGTTTACCTGGAGGAACCCAATCCCGTCCTCCCCCCCACGTGTCTGGATAATCACAAGAGACCCCCTCCCCCCTCAGCCACTCGCTCAGTTCCAGCCCTAAAGAAACACCTGCTGCTCCGAGTCCTACCTGGCGCACGGCAGCGCTCCCAGCTCGGGGCCTGGGTCCGGACTCCGGAACCGGAACCAAAGGACGCGGCCTCGGTCTGCCGGGGTGCGGGACACCGGAAGAACGCACCCGGGGGAGCGCTTTTTAGGAGACGCTTAGTTGCTAGGGGGCCTTAGTAACGGTACACAGCAGCGAGAGTTGCTGCTGCTCGCTGCTGGGGCAGGTACTGAGGATGCGCGGCACCGTGCGGGATTCCTGGGGGTAAGGGCAGGGGGAAGGAGGGGCCCCTCTCCCTTAATCTTCTGTCTCTCGGCCCCACACAGACCGGGATTTGGGGTTTCATACAAGCCTTGGTTTGAACTGAAGGAAGAGGCGGGAGGAGTCGGGTTCGTCCCGTCCCCATTTCTGGGGATCCCTAGTAGGACAGTCCTGCTCCCCGTCTCAGAAGTGGCCCTGGGTCCACGCAGAGGGTGCAAGGGGGTCTTGGTCAGGGCCGGTGCCACCATTAAGGCAAACTAGACAGTTGCCTAAGGTGCCAAGATTTGGAGGTGCCAAAAAGCGGTGCCCCCAATTTTTTTTACAGCATTCCAACGCCCCCTCCCCGCGTGCGCAGTTGCCACTACACTTCTTCCGCCTCCCAGGCTTGTGGCGCCAATCAGTTGTTTGGCGCCGCAAGCCTGGGAGGGGAGGAGAATTAGAGCGGGGGCGGCGTGCTCGGGGAGGAGGCAGAGCAGAGGTGAGCTGGGGTGGGGAGCTGCTGCACAGCTCCCCAGGCCGAGAGGGTGGGAAGCTGCTGCGGGGGTGCCTCAGGGCGGAGGGGGGAGCTGCCGCAGGGCTGGGGGGGGCGGGGGGCGCAAGGTGGAAATTTCGCCTAGGGCTCGAAACTTCCTTCCACCGGCCCTGGTCTTGGTTGTTCACAGCATGGCTTGTCTCCAGGGGGATATTTCCCCCATTGTGTCTCATGGTTAAGGAGGAAGGAAAAGTCGTTGAAACAGGCACTCAAGAGTACTGATGCGAAGCATGAAAATAGGAAAATAATCAACATTTTAGGTTGTATTACAAAAAATAGTGTAGTGCTGCTGAAAGCTTAGTATGTTTCTCTGATAGCCCCAAAAGAGCATATTAAACTGGTACAATATATAAATATAAATATATATTAAATATAAACATATGATAAATATTTTTCATATGTACTTGTTTGGTGTCACACAGATAGGGGGTCGAGGGTAAATAACATATAAAAAGACATTTGAAAAAATAAATAAAATCCTCAGATACATTTTACATTCCTACAATATAAGATTTGACCCAAGCCACATGAAAGTGCTCTGTACATTTTAAATACCAGTAAATATTTTCTCCATCATTGTTGTTTACCACCTTTTTTCACTATGTTCAGCAGTTTTTTGGGGGGTGGTGCAAGATTCAGTGGTGGTAACATTACAGTTTGCTGCATTCACTGAAAATCAGGAGCTGGCTGTTTATAAGAAAAAGAAAGCTCTGTGTAGCTTATATCTTGATCATCAGCAGTAAAAGAAAGGGAAATTAAGATCTTGCTTCAGTCCCTCATTAACTGCAGTAAAACAAGATTCCTAAACCACCATGTTTCTCATTCATTATAACAACACTGAACAAATACTGTTGACAGAAAGGATTAGCAGGGTTATGGTGGAGAGGTTATACTTATCTGCATAAATGGAAAGCATAATATTTTATATTGCATAGTATTTAGAATAGAGAAAGGCCATACTTCTGAGACCTGCTCAAATGTAGTGCCTCACATTAATTTTGACACACTAGACAATATTTTGATTAAACTTATAGGAAATAGACATTCTGATCACTCACACACCTCCCAATATAGAGTTTATAAAGATATTAAAAAGGACCATGGACCAAATTCTGCTCTAGTGATAGCAGTGTAAATCCACAAAAATTCTGTTGAATTTTGCAGCAGTTGGCTATAAAGTGGTGAACATTCAGCCGCCCGAAATCCATCTCATTTTGTCCCTCTTTACTTTTCAAAGCATCTTAAAACTTTTTAAAAAAGGTTTTAGAATGATAACTGTTGACCCTATATTTTCATCTTTTCTTCCTATCCTTTACTTAGCCTATTCTATTTAATTTTTTTTTATTTTAAGAGGATAGTATTTTATTATGTTTATGTTTCATTCCATTGACAAGGAGTGCACTGTAGATACAAGATTATTGTTACTATATACCTTTTACTATTGTATTGTATTGAAGTGTGCTGATAAAATAGAACCTGAGTTCTGCTTAAATGTTTATAGCTGCATTTTTTCACTGCTAAACAAAATGATTAGGAGATCACCTTGCCTATGTCACTAAGGTGTTGTGATGCTTAATGAATTAAAATGCTATGATAACTTTGAATAAAAGGTACTATAGAAGATTTATTATTAGTTAATGTACTTTAGTACGTTTAATAATGCGTAGGCTTTTGCCATTCTTGTTGTACATTGGTCACTCATAGCTGAAATTTGAACATACAGACTTATATTCAGAAGTTTTCAGTATTTCAAATGAAATATGGTACAGTATGTACCTGATTTGTCATGACATTTACATTTTTTCTCAAATTTCTACCATATTTGGATTCCCTCAAGAAAAAAATACTTCTTTTAGATTTGGAAACAAATTGTTCTCTGCAGTTTTGCATGACTGAGAGATTATGCTTTAAGATTTAGTAACATAAATAATGCCATATTATAAAATGAATTCCAAATGATATAATGAATATTTAGTCATTTATTGGTTAGAGTCTTTGTACTCAAACAATTACTATTCAGTGTTCAGCAGTTGTGTCTTTAGATCAAAATGACTAGGCCTAAAAATGATTTTGGGATTTTCCTGAGTCAGTGAAACACAATAAAGGAGCAGTCTGTGGTATATTATTCATAGTGGTATTGCAGACAGTATTCTTGGGCAAAATGCTGACATTATAGACAGATATTATGCCAAATTTTGATCTCCGTTACACTGATGAAATCCCATTGACTTCAATGAGATTGCATGGATATAACTGAGAGCAGTATTTAAGCAGATCTTATTGTTGCTTTTGGCTTGACATGTTTTCTTGTTGGCAATGTGTAATATACTGCAGTAAAAAAAATAAGTGGCTGCATTTCACAGGAGTTAGATTATTTCACTGTCATTCTATGGCAGTCACAATAGGTGTGTAAAGTGATACACTACAGTATCAAAGCTTCTTTTTTCAAGAACGAACTTTTCACATTTTGTGACACTGTAAGTGGAAAATCTTTTGTTTATATGACCAGGACAGCACCTTATTCTATAATAGTCCCCTGACTCTTATTGCTAAAACGTTGTCTCAACAGAGTTTACTAAATGATACCATCTACTATTTTATTCAGATAATATCTTCATGTGTTTGATACTAAGAAGCACTTTATTGGGAGTTGCCAGAGTTCAGCACTTCTTAAGTGTCAGACCAAAAGTACATAAGAATGGCCCTACTGGGTCAGACCAAAGGTCCATCTAGCCCAGTATCCTGTCTTCTGACAGTGGCCAGTGTCAGGTGCCTCAGAGGGAATGAATAGAACAGGTAATCATGAAGTGATCTATCCCCTGTCGCTCATTCCCAGCTTCTGGCAAACAGAGGCTAGGGACACCATTCCTGCCCATCATGGCTAATAGCCATTGATGGACCTATCCTCCATGAATTTATCTAGTTCTTTTTTGAACCCTGTTAGAGTCTTGGCCTTCACAACATCCTTTGGCAAGGAGTTCCACAGTATTTGAAACTGAATAAGTCCTTTGCATTCTGCTTTGTGCAATGATTTGAAACATTAAAATGTTGGCATTGTAAGGATCTGGGGACCAGATCTGTAGAGCCTGGGACAGCTGATAGTCCCACAGAGCGATTAAGAAGCCATGCAGAACCACAGCTAGGGAGCACTGTGGAAAGTAGGTGCCACAGGAAGTACTGCCCAACAGACCCGAAGTGACAGTACCCTGCAGCCCTCTGATTGACCATACTTGCTCAGCAGAAGCAGCACTACAAAGGCTCCACCAAGGTCCAGCTGCCTCAGATGCTGCCTAGTTCCAGTGACTCATACTGGCATTGAGTGGAACAAGGCAGTCCAACTACACCATTTTCAGTGTGGACTTAGTGAGGAAGTAAAGGATGAGCTAGCCTACATTGAGATCCTGACCCACTTTGATGCATTCAGTGACCTCTCTCTCCACATTGACAACCAGCTGCATGAGCAAAAGGCAGGGGGGGCACACTGAAACCCCAGGGCCCAACTAGGAACTGATGCAGTTTCATGTGGGCCACTGACACTTGACCCTGGAAGAAAATGAATGGTGATGGCACAATAACCTATGTTTTTATTGCAGAACACCAGGACCAGCACTTAATTTGTGCCAGGGCTTGCCAGGGCTGAGTCCTGGCACTTCTAGACTTGGCAGTTCATTAGCCCCAGCACCTCTGGGCTTGCTACATCAGTTATGAATGTAAAAAATTGCTTCAGCCCCAGCACCTAATTGTTGAGCCCCAGCACCTCTTTCATTACAAAATAAGCATTAACCAGGACATGCCTTTGCCTTGAACCAAAGATGGCTCAGGGGGACATTATTCTTCTCTCTGTTTGATTTCATCATCACCTATCTCCTGGGAACCAGGAATGGGAAAGCTGACACCTTATCCCGAAAGGGGGAGGAGGGCAACGAGCCTAACCAAGAACTACCCTGTCTCTTAAAACCTCACAACTTCCTTAGTGCCACAATATGCCAAGACCTCCTTGATCTAATCCATTCTGCTTCGTGGAACAATCCGTTATCCCAGGAGATAAAAGGACATCCTGGTCAAATGAGGACCAGAACCAAAATGCTATGTGCCACACAGGATGGCATCACCTACCTTCATGGGCGCAAATATGTTCCACCAAGGTGCCACCGTCTATAAGTGCTCCATCTCTGTCATGACACCACTTTGGCCATCATAAGACTTTCCGCACAGCTTCTCCTTTGTTCTGGTGGCAGGGCCACCCAGAGAATTCAGGGGGCCTGGGGCAAAGCAATTTTGGGGGCCCCTTCCATAAAAAAAAGTTGCAATACTATAGAATACTATATTCTCGTGTGGGCCCCTGCGGGGCCCGGGGCCTGGGGCAAATTGCCCCACTTGTGTCCCTTCCCCCCCGCCCTGCCGGCAGCCCTGTCTGGTGGCCTTCTTATGCGATCCGAAGTCCGGGATGACATTGACTCTTGTGACCAGAGGGTGTGCACCAAGAAGCCCTGTACTAAGCCTAGTACTTGGTGTCCTAGTACCCCTGGAGATCCTGCCTAGAGCCTGGGCCTCCATCACCCTTGATAGCAGAACTCCCTGTCTCTGATGGCTGCCCCATGGTTTTGATCGTTATAGACCAACTGACCAAAATGGTGCACTTCATCCCCTGTAACAGCCTGTCCTCTACTGAAACACCATCTCAGCTCCTAGTAGTTCATGTGATCTGTCTTCATGGGCTTCCCGGCTGTATCACCTGTATCACCTCAGACTGAGGCCTGCAGTTTGTCTCACTTTTGTGGTGTGAAGTGCTCCAGCTAATGGATGTTTGTGCTTTTACCTCCTCCACATACCACTCCCGGACAGATGGGCAGATGGAGAGCATGAACCAAGTATCAGAGCAATACCTAAAGTGCTTTGTCAACTACCATAAGACAACTGATTCTCCCTCCTTCCTTCTGCTGAGTGCTCGTACAAAATCACCAACCTCACCTCCACGGGGCAGAGTTCCTTCTTTGCCAATTAGGGGTTCCACCCTTGCTTCCAACTGGCCTTGCCAGCGGCCTTCCTGGACCCAGCAGCTGGTGACTGGATCCAGCAAATTCACCGTATCCAGGAGGAGCTTAAAGACTATCTCAAAGATGCAAAAAGGGACTACAAATTCCTTCTAGACCACCAGTTTCTTGGACCTTCCAGATTTGTCAGCAAATCAGTCCTCTCACCTTCAAATTACAGCTCCATTGATCTTTTAAGGTACATACCATTTCCCATGTATCCCTCCTGAAGCCTTACATAGGGTACCACTTTCCCGATTGGTCCCAACAGCAGCCCCTGCCAGTCAAGGTCCATGGGCACGAGGAATATATAGGCCACTCTATCCTCAAGTCTAAACTGCAAAGGGGGAGACTGTGCTACCTAATTGCTTGGGAGGGCGACGGTCCCAAGGAATGCTCCTGGGAGCCCGCTGCCTATGTCCATGCCCCTGGTCTGGAAAAAGGCTTAATCAAAACCAGCTGGATTTAGGGTGACCAGATGTCCCGATTTTATAGGGACAGTCTCTATATTTGGGGCTTTGCCTTATATTTTTTGTCCCGATTTTTCACACTTGCTGTCTGGTCACCCTAGCTGGATTAACAGGTCCAGCACCCATCGAGAGGAAGGGGGCCCTGAAGTGGGGGATGATGTAAGGATTCAAGGATCATCAGAACCTAGGTCTGCAGAGCCCGTCGACAGCTGATGCTCCCACAGTGCCACCAAGAGGCCATGCCAAGCCACAGCCAGGGAGCACTGTGGGGAGTAGGTGGTAAGCTCGCCAGCTTGGAGTGAAAGCAACAGGCAGTTCACCTGGCTATGACTCTTAAAGGCATGTCAAGAGGCATTGCGATTGTGTGTGGGTATCAAAGAGAAGTTAATTAGGCTGATAAACATAAGCCCATGCTCGTATGGATAAAAATCAAGAGTATATGCTAAATGTGTTTGTCAGTGTTTATCTATATTCTGTTGAAAGTTTACCAATGTAACCAAATTAGCTTGTAGATGCTAAATCCTTTTCATATCCTGTAATTCTATATTGTCTTTGCATTATATATGCAACTATACTCAATTGTTAGTAGATTAAAAACCTGTATTTAGCATTGAGAGGAAGCTTACTAAAATAGCCTATGTCAATAACCTTACTATCTGAATCTTGTTGATTCACATTGAAAAAACACCAGTAAACCACCTTAGTAGTTTTGAATGGCTACAACAACTGAGTGGCCCATCAATGGAAGCATGGGTCACAGTGGGGACCACAGGCTTTTTGTATTGCTGCATTCTTCATCAAAGGAGGATCCCACATGGAGATGACGATGGTCAGCTTGCCAGCCTGTTTCAGCTATAACAAGAGAAGCATTGGGCAAGATCCGGTAGCTCTGATCTTTCTGGATAATATTCAGGGGGCTATTCCAGATGCAAGATATAGGGTGACCAGATGTCCCAATTTTATAAGGACAGTCCCGATTTTTGGGTCTTTTTCTTATACAGGCTCCTATTAACCCCCACCCCTGTTCCAATTTTTCATTCATGCTGTCTGGTCACCCTAGCAAGATAGGACCCACCCAAATCCATTTTGGGTAAACCCTGACAAACTTATGAAAGGACTCTAAGCGACTTAGCAGACTTTACACCTATGATGAACAATTGGACTCAATATATCCTGATCTACAGACTCTGAAATCAATTGTAAAATATATGATTCACTTTAACCATTAATAACACTCTTCTTTTCATTTTTTATTAATAAAACATTAGTTAGTTTACTAAATTATAGCGTGGTATTTTGGTGAGATCCTGAAGTGTGTATATTGACCTGGGGATAGTGGCTGGTCCTTTGGGATTGGAAGAACCCTATGTGTGGTATTTTGATTTTAATAATCATACATCATAAAAGTCCAGAAAGAAGCCAGGGACTGGAATGCCTAAGGCAGAGATGGGCAAACGACGGCGGCCCACGGGACCCTCCTGCCCGGGCCCTGAGCTCCTGGCCCGGGAGGCTAGCCCCCAGCCCCTCCCTTGCTGTTCCCCCGCAGCCTCAGCTCTCTGCACCGCCGGCGCAATGCTCTCAGTGGTGGGGCTGTGAGCTTCTGGGGCAGCCAGCTGCAGACCCTGGCCTGACCCGGTGCTCTGTGCTGTGCGGTGGTGTGGCTGGCTCCAGCCGGGTAGCACAGCTGTAGCACCACCAGCCACCGGTGCTCCGGCAGCGCGGTAAGGGGGCAGGGAGCAGGGGGGGTTGGATAGAGGGCAGGGGAGTTAGGGGTGGTGGTCAGGGGGCAGGGGTGTGGCTAGGGGTTGGGGCGGTCAGAGGGCGGGGAACAAGGGTTGAATGGGGGCAGGGATCCCGAGGGGCAGTCAGGAAGCGGGGGGGTGGCCGGGGGGCAGGGGTAGTCGGGGACAGGGATAAGGGGTGGTTGGATGGGGGCAGGGGTCCCGGGGGGGCAGTCAGGAATGAGAGGAGGGGTTGGATGGGGTGGTGGGGGGCAGTCAGAGGCGGGGGTTCTGGGGGCTATCGGGACAGGGAGCGGGGGGGGGGTGAATGGGGCAGGAGTCCTGGGGGGCCATCAGGGAACGGGGGGGTTGGATGGGGCAGGAGTCCGGGGGGGGGCCGTCAGGGGGTGAGAAGTGCAGGGGGGGGGTGGATAGGGGCAGGGCTGGGCCTGGCTGTTTGGGGAAGCACAGCCTCCCATAGCCGGCCCGCCATACAATTTCCGAAACCCGATGTGGCTGTCAGGCTAAAAAGTTTGCCTGCCCCTGGCTTAAAGGCTTCTTGTTTCGGCTTCTTGCTAACCAGTATGGTGATGCTAGCTTTGTGAAATATAGTTATAGAATAAACCACCAGTTTTGGGGGGTGTTTGCCCTATTTCTTGCAGTTTGTCCTCAATCTGGCATTCTCAGTGATGACCCATACTAGGCCCCTATTTTCTGTGACATAACTTTTCTAAAAGATTTCTCAGGCTAGTTTTCTGCACAGGCTTTTTTAAAATTATGGCTGAGTTTTTAATTGCCCTAAACTCAGGAAATGTCAGTGGGATGATTTCAATGGGACTACTTGCTAATCTGCAAACCTGATACTTCTCCCCACTTCTAAGCAAAAAATTGAATTAAGAACAATTCAGATTATCATACTAATAAGACTTTACTACTTTTACAAAGTATATTGCAGTATATCTATTAATATACTAAAAAGTGTTGTTTATAAATATTTCACACTAGTCAAAATACATGAAAAACTACATTTTGTGATGCTGTTTCCTTTCTTGTCTTCACATTTGTTCTCATGTTTATTAATTCTCAAAATTAGGTAACACTCAATGGGTCTCTCATTTATTAGTGCTAACTAATGAGCATATACTGTATACATCATGGTGTTTGCTTTGTTTACTAAGAACAATACCTTAAACTCCATCTCAATTTTATAAGGTATTTTTATAAGAGTAATTCATATTTGTACTTTGATAGAAGATGCAAGGGCCGCCTGGTACTTTTGAAGAATTCTTACAGTCTCAGAAATTGGTAAGTAAAAATGCTTATTATTTTAACTACCCGTGTGTGTGTGTAGTGTAGTAAACAAGCAAGAACAAGGCCTTGAGCAAAAGACATATGAATATAAATATTGAAAACCAAGTTTTGAACATGGATTGTATTTCCTAGGCCCTTGGGCAGTGGAAACTAAGAGCTTTGTAGAAATGGTGAAACCTTCCAGAGAACAGCGCTTCTGTTGTTAACCTGCATTTTTTTCATAGATAGGCCACGGAGGAAGTTTTGTGTCTGCTGTAGCAGTAATTCCTGTTGTATTGTGGAGGGCATGCTTGAGAGAGCACACTGACTCATAGCTTGTTTAAAATAGATGACCAGGCCACAACTTTATTACCGTAACAGCAAGGCCAAAGACAAAAAGTTCTGCCAACTGTGAAAGGGGGAATGATCAGTTTTGCTTATTTAGCCATTCTACCTTGTCTTGCGTTGATAAACTTGTAGGGGAGATTTTCCTGATCTCCCTGTAAATTCTACAAACTGTATACCACCAAAACATTCCATATTAAGACTGATTACTAGTGATGCTTCAGCCAATCATCCATTCTTGTCCACACTGCAGTGGACCTATATCTATTCGTTACAGAGGATGATTAGTTGGTATATGGGTGAAACCTTCTTTGGGTTGAGTTAAAACCTCATTTGAGACTGACAGGTGTGAATTCACCCTTCAATTAACATAACTGTAAGGATAGACTCCCAGTGAAGAGAAAAGAAGTATGTGAACCCACCCAGGAGCTTTTGTTGAATATTATTTTGGGGTTGGGTGGTGGGAGGCAGAACAGACATAAACCAGGGAAAGACTGAGGGAGAGGCAGCCTGAAAGAGCTGATGAAAGCACATTGGTTGACCTTGGAAGAAATCTGGGACAAGGTTTTTGGGTTAGGGTGCACAGTGAAAAGAGTGCTCTTAGTGCTGTTAGCAAAGAAAGCTGTTTCCTGCCATTTGATTGCTTTTGCATTCAGAGACACAAAACTTCATACATTCTTTGTAAATATACAAAACTGCATGAAAGAAATACTTGACTATCACCACCTTCTCCTCCTAACTGCGACAACATAGTGGACCTCAAATTTTTGGCTAACCGCTCAGGTCAAAAGGGGCAACACTATTAACAGATTAGAACATGTCCATTGTTTACTGTGGGGTTGAACAGTGTCCAATCCTGGTATAGTCATCATCAATTTATTATGATTGTACACTTTAGCATTTAGTCCCTGCTCCAGCATAGTACTTAATCCCATGGGTAATTTTAAATACTTCAATGGGATTACATGCTTGCCTAAAGTTAAGCACCAGTTTTAAGTGCTTTGCTGGACTGAGGACCTTAGTCCGTGCCTCTGCTTTCCGGGGCATGCACCACAGATGGAAGACAGTACTATACTTTCAGAGAACATAAATTACAAAGGACTTTATTTGTGTCCTTAGAACCATGATAACTCTTCTATGCATGATGTCTCCTTTTCAAACTAAAAAGTCCTAGTCTTGTTAATTAGTCCTTGTAAACCTCTACCCCGATATAACGGTGTCCTCGGGGGCAAAAAAATCTTACCGCGATATAGGTGAAACCGCATTATATCGAACTTGCTTTGATCCACCAGAGTGCGCAGCCCCGCCCCCCGGAGCACTGCTTTACCATGTTATATCCAAATTGGTGTTATATCGGGTCGCGTTATATCTGAGTAGAGGTGTATAAAGCCCTTCACCCAACATGAATTTGTTCTGCCCTTCTCTGGCCCATTCCTATTTTTTGCTGACTGTTGTAACCAAATGTGAGTGTGCTATTCAACATAAGAAGAAATTAGAGTCCTTTAAACAATGATGTCAAAATTAGAGGTCATTAAAATGAATAGGAAATGTGTGTTTGTACTGGAACTGCAGTGCATTGTAAAAATGTAAATGTCACATATGATTGATTCTTAATTTTATCTTAACATTTTTGATGATGCTTATGAGTAATTATTTTTAACGTAATTATTGCAGGATGATTGGCCAAGATTTCCGTTTCTAGATGAAGATCGTCCTTTGGTGGACAAATTAAGAAATGACTATTCATTTGATACTATTTCTAAGTTTCTGTATGAAAATGCTCCACTACAAAGCAGCCGTGTCTCAGATTTGGAGAAGAGAATAGATGAGTGCACAACTGAACTGAAGAAACATGCTGAAAAAATATTTTCTTTTCAGCAAAGACCAACAGAGGAAGATGACCATCGTGTTTCACTAGAGCAAAGTAATGGGCAATTATTTTAGTTATTACTACTGGGAATAATGGTTGAAAGGTCAATGAAGTAATTTAATCCATTTCCCAACGTTTAAATTCTGGCTTAGCCCTAGTGATTATGTTCCAGTTTTTGGAAATAGCTGTGAGAGTATGCTGTCTAGTATAGGGGAAGCGGGGGAGGAAAGCAGTGTGTATATATAGACAGAGAATTGGATAAAGATCCAGTGAAATAAAGTAGAATGAAACTTGCACAGTAGAAAATGATCATGCAGTGTTCAATAGGGATAGATTGTATCTTCATGTATAGCCTTGGGTAAGGAATGGTGCATAAGGTGTAGACTCAGGAGTAGTCCTGGGAAACATATATGCATATATATCACTGTAAGAGTAGCCCAGGGAGTCACTGTGCCTCAAAGAGGCATAATTCCTTTCTTGTTTCCTATACTTACAACAAATTACACTAACCTACACCAGTTCAGCTACACTGATGCACTGGGAATGTGGAGCCAAGGCTCTGCCAATTACCTGTTTTCCCAGTCCACCTGCTTCAGGGGGAACAGAGTAAATGAATACGTACAATTCACCTACACAAAATATATGCATTCCTTTGGTGCAATCAGTGAGGCTCAGATAAGTGAACACAAAAAATACCCGCTGGCTGAGAGTGGATGAAAATGTTGTACTTCGTCACCACAGTTGACTAGAACCTCAACTTTACATCTCACCTGAAAGACACTTCCAGCAATGCGTTGTCAGTCCATGCTGGGCCACTGGTTCAATAGTGAGTTAGAAAGGGGAGAGCCACATCTTGAATCATCAGCACCATGTCCTGTAGCACATTGGTTTTCCTTAGAAGTAGCTTAGCAGATTGTATCTTGAATTGCTATGGCTGCAGGGATATTATTATTGCAACTAAATAATTGTGTTTGGATATTTAACTAGATAAATTGATACTGACTTCAGTAGAGATATGCCAGTACACATCAGCTGAGACTCTTGTCCAGTATTTATCTTTTATATTTACTATTTTATGAAATTTTGTATCTTGAAAATATTAGTAAACTGATTTCAGTATTGTTTTCTGCATTATGTATATATTGGGATCTCCTGGGAGATGTGGTCCTGATGTTGTAGATACAGTAGGATTGTCAATTGATTTATTAATTTATCTGTGAGCTGAAATCTAATTATTTCTGCTTGGTTTCTTCACTGCAATGACAAAATACTCAATTCCATGTACATAGAAAAATGTTATTTTATTATTTTTCTGATGAACACTCTCTGAATATTAGTTATAGTATTTCCTAAGATATATCCACACAATTATATATACATTCATCCTGATTTTTCAAAGTCTGGGCATTCTCATTATATCCTATTGGGCTACCTGATATACAATATATTATCATTTTCTTCAAATATGTTGATTTGTGAATTTCAGGACTTCAAGCACTCTAACTTTTGAAAAAAGTTTTGTTTTGTTTTCCCATGTACAATTGTTTCATTCATGTCTTCTTGCTTAATAGATCCTGAATTGGTTTGTTTGCTAAAATGTATTTTGAATTAGGCACTGCAATGACATTATTAGGTGCTAACAACAATAAAACTATGGAAAAACTGTTGAAAGAAAGCTTGCCACTTACTTAAAAGTGACTGAGTGGAGCCAGCCACTGAATCCCTAAAATTAGTCCCAAATCGGCAGAGTACTTGAGCATGTGCTTAACTGCTGTGTTCTGTTAAGTCAGAGACATTGTTCTGAAAAGCATTGTTTGACCCAAAAGTAATACACGAGTAGTTACAAATTATATCAAAGCAGATAGTTAACACTTCCTTCGCTGCAGCTAATGATACTTTTTGGAAGTGGTATTTTTTCTGAATAATATGTGGTAGTTGAGTTTTGTGGATCAAGAAAAATTATATGGGTACAAAGTATGAAGTAAAGTTTTACATGGTGAAAATTCAGAAAAAGTTCATGTATGACAATTGATGACAAGCTCATGCTTCTCCCCCCACCCCACCCCACAAGGATAATCTTCTGGTTAAGCATGAACACTTAGGGTTTGTCTACACGGTGGGGTAATGTGTTTTATCAGGTTGTTATTTCTAAAGCTCACTAAAGTTTTGCGCATTAAGTGGTTGACGTAGACCCTGTTAGTATGCTTTAAAAGAGCACTAGAAACCTTTGGTGTGCACCCGCAGGGTCTACATGGACCAGTTGATGCACAGCATGTTAGCGTGCTTTAGAAATCAAAGCCCCATAGAGTGCATTACCCCACCATGTAGACAAGCCTTTAATCACTCTGTGTCTCAGTCCTCTATTTGTAAAATTGGATTAATTCCTCGTGTTGGTATTGTAAGTCAAAAATCATTAATTGTAAAGAACTCATAAATACACAAAATTCCACAGCTGTGCAAACTCCCCCGAATGTCAGAAACTTAAAAGAAAGGTACCACTCTTAAGTCCTAGGGGTTCACTCTCCTCTTCATTCCATCACATAAAGAACAAATAGGTGCATAATAGATGCAATTGGATAATGTGTTTTTTAAATTTATAAAGTGAATATGCCTGGAGGTGTTAGACATGGGCAATGATTCTTAACAGCAGTTTGCTCACAGTGTATTAAGCCATTACATTTTGTTTAGTTAAAGTTTAACCCTTAACTTCCAGTTGCAAATGCATGTGTGCAGTGTTAAATTTATAATAAAAAGGAGCAAACTTAGGCCCTGATCCTGCAAAAACTTTGTATGAGTAAAGTACTGTACATACAAACATCTTTGCAAGAATGAGACTTCAGCTTGTCACATCCTCCACAAATGTAGTTCTTAAACAGAAGATGAGGTATACAGAAAGGAAATGGGAGCCTACCATTCATCTCAAAGATGAGTCAGTAGGACTACACACTGCATAAAATTAAGCCTATTAATATTTGCACATTTGGAGCCTTAGTTTGGTCAAGATCTTGAATTTGTCCTGAAGCTGAAAAAACAGAACTGACTATTTTGTTGCTAATTCTTACTCTTTTTTTTAAGCCAATGATACTCAACTTACTGATTCAGAAGAAATTTCAATTCAAACAGGCAAGATGAGGAAAACAAAGGTATACTATTCATTGAATTTTTTTTTCATTCTGTTACAGGTTTAGACAGTGAAGACCAAATTTTCGAAGGGGCCTCTATCTTGCATCTTAGACTGAGATTGTGGTCCGCCCTATATGATCACACAGATAAAACTACTCAAAAATGTGATCGTTCTTTATATTGTCATACTATATTCTGTAGTGTAGGTAAGACCTAAAGCCTTTGAGGGTCACAGGCCATGTTTTTCAATTTGAAGTCATACTTGGGCTATTTTAAGTTCTGTCTTGTAATATGTCATCAGCTGAAAGCGTTTTCCTTTATCTGAGACTACAAGATGTTTAATTCATGGTAAGAAGTGCATTTAACATTAGTTTTGAATGGTTTGTTTAAAACATTTTTCAGATTGATAAATATATCGCTGAGGAATCAAGCAGAAAAAATGTAAAGGTAAGTTTGCTAAACATATAATAAAGTAGATTACAGTATAATATCAAACCAATATATTGTGTCAACAGTGTCAATTTAGGGAAAGAAAGGAATACAGAATTAGGCCCCAAATATATATATTAAAGATTCAATATTATTTTTATTAATTATATACATTTAGATATACTGCATAATGGAAAATCCAAATATGGTGTGAGTGTGTTGATTTAATTTGATTTAATTGACATGTCATGAATGAATACTTGGGGCTTAATTTTTGGTTTTCTCTAAGCTGTGCTTAATGAAGAACCTATGGGGGGAGCAACAGTAGCTGTGTGTCAGTTTTATATTCTCCTGATTCCTGGGGCTGTTTGGGGCTGCTCGTAGGCAGCGTGTAGCTAAGGCTAGAGGGGACTCAGTCTCCCCAAAATTGATCTCTGCCAGAAAAAGCCCCTTCACTACTGCTATGATGGAGGCTTAATTGGGTGCTAACTGCGTGAGCCGTAGCCCACCTAGGCCCACTCATGGATATGCCCCCGCTGAGCCTCTCTGCCCCAAAAACATTTTCTTCAGCCACCTATGAGTCTGCTTCTGCTCCTGCCATAAGTTAAAGGAGCATTTAACCAAATCTGACTGGTAAGAGCACACAAGGCGCCACTGGGACAGCCAGGGATTCTGACTGCTCCATTTGAGGCATCAATGTGATTACTTACATAAGTAAAGTTAGTGATAGGTGTCAGTGTTGTGGAACTGAGCACTAAAATATTAACTGACTAAATTTCATAGAGATAATATGAAATGAGAACAGATGTAAACTTCTATCACAACACAATAATGTATTTATAACTGAGCTAATTAAGTTAAGAAAAATATTACTGATACATCTAAAAATAGCAAATCAGGTTCTGTGTTCTTCTGAGACTTCTCTAAAGTTAAGGACCAAAACCTGCTCACATGAATTGCATGAGTAATTTTATTGACATCACTAGATCAGAACCCACTTAGCTCACAAGAGTGGTATTATCTGCATAGAGTGGTAATATTTGCATTATACTTTGAGTGCTATGTAAATGCTAAGCATTCTTCTTATTTTTATTTTGCTTTCTGTACTCTGAAATACAAACTGACCCACTTCCTGGCGTGAAATAAAAAACATACAGCATGTTCAAATTATATGAGGGTGATGTCAGGCAGAAGGAGAATTGTTTTCTTAGCTATGTCCATTGCCTCTGCTGGAACACTGTCTGTTATGCACTTGCCATACAGTTAACAGAATGACTCTGCAGTGACTAGCTTCAACAAGGAAATGAAGGCAGGGGCTGGGAAATAGCAAAATATGATCGCAAATTGAACTGCTGACTTAAATATAAAACAAAGCAAAATACCTTGACTGGGGTTTTACTCTATAGCTTATGGGGGGGGAAGTAATTTTTGAGACAGAATCATAAGGATGCAAAACATTTATTAATGATCAGGCAGCAATTTCTTGCTGTACCTTGACTGATTGATAATTGGACCTCTCATTGAGTCTGGACAATCAGAGAAAGTAATTGGTAAAGAAAATACTACTGAAAAAATGGGACTCCCAACAATGGAACATTTCCATTGTGGGTAAGTGTCTTCAATTTCACTTTAGAAAAAATATATGGTGGATACATTTGAAGTGATATGTTCTCAACAAAAAAAGAGAAACTACAAGGAATGTAATAATTAGTAATTAAACATTTTTTCCTTTTAGAATTATAGATACCCAGGTTTCAAGTTAAAACAGCTTACAGAACTACCAAGACATTTGGAAGCAGCAAAACTTTGGGACTTGGTTATAAAAGCTCACCATTTCAAAGTATGTACACTTTACTCCACTTTGCTAAATAGAAACTGCTAACATAAAATAGTGCCAAATCTTTATGGTTGATATCTTAAGTAAACATATATTTTAAAATGTTCATATTCCATTTTTTCTTTAGGTTTTTTTAATTCATGAAAGATGCCAGACTGAGAAATCTAGACAGTGAAGTCCATTATTTATACACACAACTGGCTCACCTCAGGCAGCAGCAATGAACGTTTCCCCTCAAAGTTTTTTCTTGTGTCTCAAACCTGATCTATTATTATATTGGGGAAAAATACATTAAATTAACATTAGAGTTGCAAAGTTAAGCACTCAGTTAGTAAGTTCCAGATCTTCAAAGGTATTTAGGCACCTAACTCCCATTAAAATTAATAGGAGTTAGGCATCTTAATACCTTTAGGGACGTGGGCCAAAATGCCAAAATTAGGGTTGCCTATATAACCTTAATTCAGCCTCCTTCTGTATATGCATTATAGTATAGTTTTGAATTACATGATCACGTGGTATTTTTGTACAGGATCCATCTCTCATTCAATCCACAGGATGGACAGTGCTCAAGGAATGAATCAGGCCTGTGTAGTGCATGAGGCTGTTGTCTACAGGACTCCTGCTGTGAGGATCCATGGACCTGGAACCCAGGTCTGCAGGCTCCTGTGTGGCTCCCTTGTCCACACAGCCAAACCACAGGTCTGGTGAAGCAGGGAACAGCAGCCAATGAGCCCTATGGGTTCAAGCTCCACTGGATGTCTCACCCATGGAGGTCCTGACTGGCAGAGCCTACTGCATTCTCTAATTGTCCTAGGGAGAACATCTGGAGGCCGTTTGTGCAACTAGGTGGATTTCCAGCTTGCTGCTGCAAACAGACCCTTGATACATTGCCTTACTGCTGGTTTCTGGCCCCAGTCCTGCTCCTGATGCCAAGCCTTGCTTCCGGTTCCTGGTCCCCTGCTCTGCTCCTAACTCCTCAGGCTGCCTTCGTTCCTGGTTCCCTGCTCCATTATTGCATCTTGCCCTGCCTCCGTTTTACTAACCATACTTTGGCTGACTCACTTGGCTCTGACATGGTGCAACTCATTGACCTCGATTCCAACCTTGACTGCTGCTTTTGGCCTTGAACGCTCTAGACTGAACTCAGACCATGTCCATTATAACCATGGCCCTGGCCTCTTCCCCCACCCTGTAGGTGGGATCCTGATACCTGCCTAGCTCAAGTGAGAGGGAAGTGAGAATGACCACACTGGGAAACACCACTTAAGCTACACAGAGTGATTGGATTATCAGAGGGATTCTGTTAGAAGCTGATGAGTTGTAATTCAGGTTCCTGCATCCCATTGTATTACTAGCGCAGCAGCACGCAAGCTTTGGTGTGTACGTGTTAAAGTTCCCTTATACGCAATCTAGCTCAAATTTAAAGCACCACTTCTGTTGAGCTGGAGGTTTGTGTTTGTGTACAGGAATCAGGTTAGGGAAAAACTTGAGTTACACCCCAAGCTAATATGTCAGTGAAGACAAGCCCTCTGTTTCTTCAAAAGATTGTGCACATAGATTCTACTCTCGGTGCGCACCCATCTTGTACAAAATGGGATTCTTTTGGGCAGTAGTGCCCAATAGGACTGTGCCTGCTAAATGTCCTTGCACCTCCCACTCAAGAACATAAAAGGCAGAGTGGTCCCTGCTATCCCTCAGTTCCTTCTTAATTCCTGTGGCAGCAAGAAGGAACCCCTCCAGTGTTCACTTGCTTCTTGGTGCTAGTGTTAGTTATTATTGTTAATTAGTTAGTTCTCAGTGAATAGTTTTAGTCTTTTTGCCTGTTGGCACCAAAACCAGATTTTTGTGTGTGTGAGAGATTTAATTTATTGGCTAGACTTCTCCCCTCCATCCATTAGAGGAGCTCTAACAATATGGAAGAAACAAAATTTCCAGGGTTCAAAATCTGCCCTACATGTGAAGCTTCAATGCCACTTACCAGCAGACTCTCCAGCTGCCTCTTTTGTTTAGAAGAGGATAAACAAACGTAGAGAATTGGTAGACAAGGTCCCAAGGGAAAGAAAAAGAAGTTCAGGACAGCTGGCAGTTTCTCAAAGGGACAGCATTAAAGGCATAACAGCAAACTATCCCAAAGCAGAGTAAAGATAGGAAGAAACAAATATAGCTGTATCAGGAGCTCTTTAAATACCTGAAAATCAAAAAGGAATCATACAAAGAGTGAAAACAAGGACAAATTGCTAAGGATAAGTACAAAAGAAGAGCACAAGCATGAAGGGACAAAATCAGAGAGGCATAAAATGAGTTACAACTAGCAAGGGACATAAAAGACAATAAAAAGGTTCTATAAATGCATTAGAAGTAAGATGAAGGAAAGTGTAAGTCCATTACTTAACAGGGAAGGAGGGGTACTAACAGATGAGACAAAGAGGAGGGTGCAAGTGTTTACGAATACCTACACCATCTCTGACAGATGTTTGTCTAGCGTGTTCTTAAAAGCTTCCAGTGACAAGAACTATACAACCTCCCTTGATAATCTTTTCCAGTACTTAACTATCCTTATAGTTAGTTTTTTTTCCCTATTATCTAATCTAATTCATCCATAGACTGTAATGGGAGGGGCAGAGTTATAACCTTTTATAACCCTTTGAAGACTTATCCCAAATAAGTGTTTAGGTCAACTGTAATTCTTTGAATAGCTGGTAATAACTTTTACAAAAAAAATTATAGTGCTGTATATTTTGAGGGACTGAACATTACTTTTAACGTTAATATTTCACTACCAGCCTTCAACAAGATGTTTAGATTCAAAATATACAAATTTTTTACTTTTTAAAAAATTACTTATGTATGCATATGTTTGGCACACAATGCTGTCAGAAAGCCTGCTATATAGACCCAAAAATGACTTGGACAGCTCAAAAACCATAATTTTAGTACCACCCCCAACTCCAAAAAGTCTGTTTTTTGTCGTACTGACACTACTTTACCTTCAGCAAATGACAGGAAATTAATAGCTGCCATAATAAATAAACCTGACACAGTCAAAATGCATGAATTCCAGAAAAATTCAGTACATAAATTACATAATATTTACAATTCCTCAGTTATCGGATAGTAACAGATTTAATAACTGCTTCAAAAATTTAACTTTAGAAATACAATTTGTGTAATGTAATACTTTATAATAACAGCCTCATTTTGAAAAAAAATGTAGAAGTCTGCAATTGCATTCTACATAAGCATATTGAAAAAAATACCATTATGTGAGTTTTAAAGTCTTTTTATGGCATTAATTGTAATATTTTGGGGCCAGGTTCAGTGGCGTTGGAACAGTTTTTATAGTGGGGGAGCTGAAAGACATTGAACAAAACTGAATGCCTTGTGTATGATAGAAACCACTTCAGTCCAGAGGGTGCTGCCACACCCCCAGCACCCTAGTTCCAGCACCATTGGCTAATGTGTGCCTTGCCCTGTAGAGCTACCCACCAGGACAATCCTAAAACCTCACTAATACTTCTGCACAGGGGCCATGCACAGTTCATAATTTCTGCCTGTTACCTGATGCAGAGGGGAATAAATGGAACCTATATCTGAATCTGCTTTATTGATTTGGCTAGCTACTCTTATTCTCTGAGGTATTGTTTTTAAATTGCCATTGTGTTGAACTCATTTTTAGGATTCAAATGCAAAGAACACTACCTAAGGCCTCACTAATTTTGTCAGGTTTCAGAGTAGCAGCCGTGTTAGTCTGTATCCGCAAAAAGAACAGGAGTACTTGTGGCACCTTAGAGACTAACAAATTTATTAGCGCATAAGCTTTCGTGGACTACAGCCCACTTCTTCGGATGCATACAGAGTGGAATAAATATTGAGGAGATATATATACACACATACAGAGAGCATAAACAGGTGGGAGTTGTCTTACCAACTCTGAGAGGCCAATTAAGTAAGAGAAAAAAAAACTTTTGAAGTGATAATCAAGATAGCCCAGTACAGACAGTTTGATAAGAAGTGCGAGAATACTAATTTTGTGTATCTCAGTTTTTGAGTGCCAAATTAGAGACACTTAGGACCTGATTTCAGATATGCTGAATATCTGTAATTCCAGTCAAAGCCAATGCAAGCTGCAAATGCTTGGCACTTAAGAATATCAGGCTTTCGTTGTATCCACTTGAGTACCCCATGTTGTACCCAACATAGTGGATAATTTTGAAAGAAACTGCTTCTCTTCAATTTAAAGCTAAGCATTTTCCTCTTGAGGTTTTTTCCAAGTGTTTGCTGAAGCTAAGACATTTTTCTACTATCTGCTGGATTTGGTTATGAAGTGCACCACTTGCGCTCTTTAACTTTTCACATTTCTACAGTCTGAATAAATAAATTTAACAAAAAGTTTGTTTCAACAGGGAGAAGTTTATAAAGTTTGGAGAAAGTTGTTTCTCTCAGAAGCATCTATTGCTGTTTTACAGGATTGTTTTTGGTGGTGGTTTCTTCAAAAGTTTAAGGTATAAACATATAACAAAATTATTCTTACATGTCTTCTAATCAAATGTATAAAATAACAATTTCTTGTTTTACAAAGTCATGATCCATAGATTGAATAGATTCAACAGGAGCAGAAGTAGGCCCAGAATGAAACATCTAACTTTAATCTGATCTCAGAGGACAAACATTTTACTTGTGAAGAGCCATTTAAGACAGAAGGTTTATATCACTGAATAATAAAATAAAACTTTAAGCCAGAATTGACTGTTTACTTTAGCTTTGCTTACTTTGTTTAATGATGCTAAGATTTATGCAAGATTTGAAATAATTAAATATAAGAACATAAAGCAAAAATATCACTACTTTTGTTACCTGACACTATCAATATGTACATAACTGAGGAGCCAAGGGAAAATATTCATACAGTGCATGACTGTGCTTGTGAGCTACCCTTGACTCAGTACAGTGCTTCAGCCCAACATTTAAGGTGGTGCTTAATAGGGATGGATTAAACCCATGCTTCAAATTAAGCATGTGCTTAAGTGCTGTGCCAAATAAGAGCTTTTGCAACAAATTAAGAAAACTGTTAATTTAAAGGGGGGAAAGAATACAGCAAAATGTAAAATTACTTTGGGAATATGAATAACAGTGTTGTTCCTCATATCGTCAGATTAAATGCTACAGGAAATTGCTAATGCCACAGTTCAACAGGGTATTTAAGCACATGTCTAACTTTAAACATGTAAGTCATTATATTATCTGTAGTGGAATTGCTCACATGCATAAGTACCCTGCTGAGTCGGGGCCTAAATTCTGACCATCATCATGTTAATTCATAACTATTTCTGATTTTATGTTGATTTTTCCTTTTAAGCCTAATCAAGAAGATCAAGATTACTTGTTTGACAGAATTGCAGACAGCTTTGTATCACTTTTCCTATGTGTCCCCAGTGATACTAAAGATGCTTTTTTTCAGGTAATGGTATGGTAACATATGAGTTGCAATGATTAGTTATTTAAGTTTGGCAAGTTTTTAAAGCTCTTTTTCTTCCTCCTTGTACATGGTGTGGAAAAATGCATTAATTTCATGGAAATTGGTATGGCAGAGGGAAAAGCCATACAGAGACAAGCTCCCCCACTCACATAGACACAAACATTCCCTTGCTTAAACAATACATGTTTGGGGAGAGATGTATAGGGGGTTCCTGGCTGAACAAAAGGAAATAGAAGTTAGGGAGCAGCAGCTGCCCAGGGAAAATTTTCAAAAGTACCAGAGGCCAAAAGATCAGACTTTTAAAGGGATTTAGGCACCAAAACAGGTAAATAGGTGCCTAAGTCCACCATGTAGGCACTGCTGACATTTTCAAAGCTACAGCTCATGTGCCACCTAATCCCTTTAGCTGCCTCGGTACCTTGAGCACCTAAGTTTCTGCTGGTAAGCATTTACAAAGCAATCTAAGTTCTGCTGCCACCCAACAGCTAACAAGCTGCTCAGAGCAGTAGCTGAAGCAGAAGCCCTGAAGTGGGATTTTTGAAGTAGGAGAGAGAATGCTTACCTCACCTCCAGGGCCTTATCCTGTAGGTGTGCTTTAAGCACACCTGTTACCTGGCAGACTCTGCAGCAGGTAGTCTAGATGCAGGATACTGATAGATGGCAGCATATTTTTGTGGGGGGGACACAACACAGCACCTGCGCAAAAAACATTCAGGGCACAGGGACATATAGAGCCAGCATGAGAAAGGTATCTAAATGAGCAGGAGAGAGAGAGAGAGCATTTTGGCAGGTAGGGCATGGGTTACCTAAGCAGCTGACCTGGCATAGATGGCTAACTACAGGAGAGGGTTTTTAAGTCTGAGATTCTGAGCAGAGATCAGCTGCTTAGATGCCTAAACTCTGCCTTCTCCCTGCCCTTTCCTCTGCATTTCACTACTGGCTTCTGAAAATCCCTTTCTTAGGTGCCTAACTCTCCGTATGTGTTGTATGAGGAGCCTGGGTGCCAAACTCAGTGCTGTGAATACCACTTGGTGGCAGGGCTCGTAGGAGTTAGGCTCAGTGTTGCAACACCTAAGTCCCCTTTGTGAATCTAGCCTTGAAGGACTTTTGAAAATGTTACCTTATGTAGCATACTCCTACTGAAAAGCACAATACAAATTTCTACTAAATCACATGTAAGTTAATGCTGAGGACATAATTATCAACTTCTTGAGCTAAAGGTCATCTACTGGACCTTACAAGAGGGGCTGCACCCTTCCTTAGGATTAATAGGGCAATTAAAACTAAACTGTCAATTATCTAATATTAGTTAAGCATTTTGAGATCCTCAGATGACACACTATATACTCATATTCTCCTCCTCATATAGGAGTTATGTGGATTTTTTCATTAATTTACGTGAGGTTCTCAGATACTGTGGTGATGAGCACGAAAGAACATCCAATAAACTAAGACTTACTCTTGATTTTCCTGCCAGTAATTCTGACTCTGAGAGGCTGTGGCATTTGGAACTCCTCCAGTGTGGGGCTGCATTTAAGCTATTACTAGGCTATTTCGTCATCATTCACTCTGTATATATGACAAACAATTTACTCTGGCTAGACTTTTCCTGTTGGTGTGTCTATTTGGGAACCCTGTAGCCACAAAGTGGTACAATCAACCAGGAGAAAATAGTCATTAGGTCTAAAAATGCCATGTGCAAGTCCACGAGGTGTTGTTCTGGGTGGGGTCTTGCCTCCCACTCACAAGGAGGAATTAAAAGTAGAGATAGTTACATGTATATTTGTATGGTGTAAGTGTTTAGTATGCAACATATATTACGATATTGCTTGGACCAGAATCCAGATATGTGCTAGCATTTAAAATTCAGATTGATATGTTGCAGCAGCTGTGTTTTTATTCACCCTGCATGACAGATATGAAATTTAAAATAAACTCCTAGGTTTAAATTATTAAAACGAAACATTTGCATAGTATTTTCTTATGAAAATGTTATCTGAATAGACATTTTTGGCATTATAAAAATGCTGATATGGTGCTAGAGTTAGTATGCACATATCTGAACCTACATATTCTAGGTAGAGAAAACAGAGCAATATGGGTGTGGGTGAGAAAGAAAGAGAGAGGAGAGTGACAACTTCTAATGTTAGAACAACATGCTGGCAATCTGAAATTAATACCTGGCTCAAACAATATGTGACCAATGAAATGTGATCCTAAAATAAACATGGCAAAATTTTCAAAAATGCTTATTTTTCATTACATATAGTGATTACTTAAACCTTAAGCAATTTTTTTAATTCCCAATTCACTCATCCATGCTTCATTTGAGCCCATAATGACTCATTCAGAGATTATAAATGTAGTCTTTTGGAATCAGCATTTTACAATTCTTGTTCTAGCTGCCAACCTTGACTTGTACCCTTTTTCAACAAGGTATTGACCATTACACCTGCTATTATATTTGACAGATATTTAATATTTCATACAAATAATAAAGACAAACTATTTTTGAAAGTATTAGTTCAATGATTACTGCATTTTGCTTTATTTTTTTATGTAAACAAAATTATAACTATAATAAAATTAGTACTAAGCTCTTTTTTAACCTTATAATTATTATATTCAGTTTAATTCTTATTTTGGCAGGTGTATCCTGATTGTTTGTCACAAGTCATCTATGTTGCTTTCTGTGAAGCATTTCCAGAATCCAGTAAATCTTTTGATGATGCATTTAAAGATGGACTAGTGGATTTAATTTTTCAGTGGGTATCAGGTACTGTTAGTTAATTTAAATACATTTTTGAAATGTATTATATTAGGATTTCCAGATTTCTTTCCCTCATTTAGAAATTATTACTTTTACCCCACTAGTGGTATTTAATAATAATAATCTATTACAAGAAATCCTATTGTCAAAGATGCTCTTCTGAGTCTGGAGCATTAATATCTCAAATTCCAACTCTTGGTTAGAGAATGGAAAGCAATTGGAGGTAGACTGGAAAACAAATGGAGATAATTTGAGCTGATTGTTCATCATCATCTCTGTGGAACAAATGTTCTTACTTATTTAAGGAAACAATTAACCTCGACCTGACTGAGGAAAAATTTAAGTCAATTATTTTGTAGCTGCATGTAACTCAGTACGTTTCCACTTGCACCTTAGCTAATTGGATTTGTGAAAGCTTGTCTAGAACCTTTAGCTTTATTCATTAATGAAATTATAAATTCATTTCTTATTTATTTTAAAAGTTAAGGTTACTTAATGTTTAATGGTACTTTAAGATGCCTCAGCATTATAGAATTTGAAGTTTTGTGAGTGGGTATTAACCTTAGAAATTAAATTTTCTTGC